TCGGCAGAGAGTACCTGCTTTCTCTGGGGGTGCACGAGGGAGGGGAGAGGTAACAGGACAACCTGTTTCACAGCTATCAAAGTCCACTGATCCTTCTTATCATGCCTAAACTGTTTCCATCAGCCTGACTATAAATGTTACTTGATCTTTGCATTCCCGTGAGGGACACTCAGATACATGCTGAAGTTGATGATGATGAAATTGAATCAGTAAAGGGGATGCTTTTTCTTTATTTTGTTTTCCTTTTACCCAAGATAGGGAGAGAAATGAAAACTCCCTTCTTGCAGGAAAGGAGCAGGAGCTGTGATCCAATAACCAGGACCTTATGCAAGCTGTTTTGCTGGAGTGTAGACCAACCTGTTCCCACTCCCAAAATCACTGCCTCTCCCTGGAATAATTTTTCACTGCCCCACCTCAAATCTGGTGCTCAGAGTTCATCTGCAGACATGTACCACTGCTTTCTAGCAGGAACGTCTGCAATGAATGACACAAACAGTAACTGAAGAGAGACCAAAGCAACCTTTGTCTTACCACTGGGAAATCAGCTCTCAGGAATCTGGAGAGTGCTTTCCCACATTTGAGCAGGTTACAGGGTGGCCCACCAACCACCATGACTTTGGGGAGGAATGGCTGCCTGCAAGCCCCGCTCAGGAGGGGAAGTGGTAAAGGGGATCCCCTGAGTAAACACACAGACACACAAGAAAAATGGAAAACCTATGAGAAGGAGGCTACCAGCTTGGTAATTCACAGGAGGAAAAGAATAGAGGAACAGCAGAGAAGTTGGAGACAAGTAAAGATGTGTGGGACTGGGACGGTGGCTAATGCAAGGCTATGATATCAAAGCCTGTCCTCAGGTTTAGGGGCTTAAAAAAAGACAGTCTCTGGAAGATAACTTTCAGAGCACATCTGTGCAGAGCTGAAGCTTATAAAGATTCAAATGAGCCAATTGCTTTGTAAGACAAATACCAACGTCTAGAATAAGGAGTGGATGCAAAGAGTAATCTAGCTGTTTCCCTGCACTTCCACCGTTTAGTGACAGAGAAAAAGGATCTGGAACAGCAGTCTGGGATGTGTTAGGAAGGTGAGTTTGACGCCCAGGTGCACTGAAAGGCAGAAGACTGGTGCTCTGCAGGAACATCAGTTCAGGGTTAGCAAGGCTGGCGTAACATCAAGTTTTTATAGACTGCTGAAAAGGGAAAAGACTCTTGGTCTTGAGTCGCAACTGCTAGTGAGAATAGCAGATGCGTGTTCCAGTACAGGGAGAGTCCTCCTCCAAGAAAAGGGAGAATTTTCCTGGACAAATCCAGAAAAAGTACAGACTCCCTTTTTTTTCCAAGGAGTAAAAAACCCAAGGGAGGTGCCTCTCTCAGCAGCTCACAGATCAGTTTTCCCTGTGCTGCAGTGATGGGACTCCCACACTGGCCTGAGTCCAGCCACAGGGCCCATCAGACCAGTAGAAAGTGGTGGGGTGAACAGGCTGGACACACCTTTTCAGCTCTGCTATTTGAGCTCTCCTTGGTTTTTTAACAATGTCACTCCCTGTTTTTATTGCATATTTTTGAAACTACATTTCAGGTCCCATCTCAGCTATTAATACCCTCTCCAACTCACTTTTTCCAGAAAGAAAAATATCTTTATTAAGAACATATCAAAAAAATGAGAGAAATAAAACAGAGTGCATGAATTACATGTGAAAAACCCATTCCCTTACTGAACAGTTCCCTTCCTTCTCCAGCTTTAACCTCGGACTCTTGCCAGATGTTTCTGTTTGTTGCAAGATGTCTGATTTGGGGTTTGAGGTCTTTCCAAAGGGGAAGGGGAGAGTATGAACTGGAAATAGGATGGGTGGCCTGATGGTGTCCAAATACAGTCAACTATTTCCATTAAATCTTGTTTGAGATTTGGCCTCCACTCCTGTAGGCTGCACCCCGCTTGGGTCTGAGGGACGTGATACTCACATGGATGAGGAAGACAAATCCAGTAGATTGATTGAAGATGAGCCAATAGATTTACGCCAGCTCAACATATGGACTATCACATCTCTCAGTGTAGGAAAGATTGCTCCCCACAGATTTCTGCTGGGTTTGCCCAGACTTAGTGAAACATCCCAGACAATGAGACTTTCCCCCTCTTTCCCTCTGATTATTTTATAACCATATACCTCCTACTGCCAGGATATTTTTCCCATTATGCATAGCCTATTCTTCCCCTTTAAAAGTGGTCCTCATTATCCTCTGTGATAAGAATTAATTTTATACTAAATAGTTCTGTCCTTCCCAACACACCCCACAGAAATGTGTAGACTGTTTGATCATATGGCCCTATCCCCACTCTAAGGTTTAGTGAAACTTCGAAGACTTGAATCAGGTGCTTTGCAATTCTGTCTTCATTGCTTTGAGCTTTCCCATCTGCATCCAACATCAGGTGAGGCCTGAGGCTGGACAACCAGGAACACATTCACACTGCTTTTCCAAAATGAAAACTGAATCCTAATTTATGAAGAATGGGAACAATTTATTTCAGCACTCGGAAATCAGATAAATCTAGATTCCTTCTTCAGCCCAACAGGGAAACTACTCTACTGATCTGTACCTCTTACTTTAGAAAGACTGGGAGCAGAAATTAATATCCTTTACTGACACTTGCAGCCCAATATCTGGGACTAAAATGTAAATCTGCACAGTAATTATCTCACTTGCAGTCTTTTTTTTGGGGGGTAGGGCCATGAAGATGAGCCTGCAAAGACTCTAGATTTCTCTACCAAGGCAATCACGTAATTGCTTTGCTGTCCTTTTGACAAACAGAGAAGCCACTTCAGCAGTGAAAATGGAGTTTGACCTGTCTTGTATCTGCGAAAAACAACTCCTGGAAATCAGAAACATTGCATTTTTTCTAATGAACCTTATTTGTGTAAAAGGTTACAGCCTTAGGATTTTCACTCCTGTGTGAGGTTAGGTTTGTCTTCTCAATCTAAGTTGTTATTTTATCATTTGCAATGTATCCCTTTGTTAACATAGATGTTATATGATCATGCAATGACAGTATATGTAGCATCTGTTTAAGGACTCTGGAAATTAGGTTTACCAGTGCATGGGACAGACCTGTGAATGGACATGTCACAGTAAATTAAGGATATAAGCCAGCTCTGTGAATGGGACAGAAGAACTTCTCCTGCAGGCGCTCAAACTCAGCCCTCAGAATGTGAATTTCCATCTACCTTCTCACCTTGTCACAGTGACTGAACTGTGGATAAATGCAACAGTGAAGTGTGAAGATGGTGGAGGGAATGAAATAATAAAACACTACATTATTTGTTTGCATCATTCCCTGAGCCAGAAGCAGCCCTGTGTCTGAAATAATTTCATACACCTCCCCGCCTCCTGTGTTATTAAGTAATGAGGAGCAGGCCCAGCGTTACCACCTTTTCTACCACCAACTCACCGGATGGACGAGGAATAGGCAACAACTGAGAGAGGGGAATACAATTCCCAATCCCTACTCCAAGTAGTCCTCACCCAGGTGACACTTGATGAAGGTGTCCCTAGCTCTGCCTTTCCACAGTTCAGTGAGGATGCTGATGGTGGGCTTCCCACTCAGCACAAACTTAACCCGAGGGCAGCTTCAAGCTGAACCCGAGGGCAGGATTTTAGGATTTTCTCCACAACAGTGGGCAGCCATATCAGCTCCTCCACTTCCAGTTTTTATCTTCTGCACTCTTTGCCCTGTTTCTCCACTGTTTAATGCATTTTGTACAGTGTGACCCACAGGGACACAGCATCAGGGGATTGACAGCCCTAAGTTCTCTCCCAGGGTAAATCTGCTCCAGTAGCACAGCTGAAGAAGTCCCAAGTCAGGGAAAACAGGGAGCAGGCATTACAGGAAGAAGGATTTTCTGCCTCTTGAATGCAGCTATAGAACCCAATACTTATGTGATTTCTGAAGCAGGTTGCTATTATTGAATTTTCATAGCTTGTACTGCTCCAAGGGCTGTGGGTAATGCTACGCTCACACCCATATTTTCCTAAAACACCAGCCTGAAAAGCTTCATCATTTCCTTGAAAACGAGTGGGATAGAAATTAGCCACCACTGTGAGTATCAGGTTTTGGGCAGCTGGCACACAGGCAGCGCTTTCCTCAGCCTTGCCTGGGTAATGGTAACCAGAGACCCAGGGGAAAAAGGGAGCAAGAAACTGCTAATCCATTTATGCTCTCACCTACCCAGACCAAAGTTGTGATTATTCACTCTACACTCTGCATTTCATTTGTATTTAACAACACACATTCTCTCCTCAGCCTACACATAAGCACAAAGCACACTGCTGGTAGCAATGGAAGCATAAAAAGTTAAATGACCTTGAAAAAACTCCAACCAAACAGAAGAAACACACCAGCAAAATAACAAATGGTTATATTTGTGAAGGTTTAATAAGTTAAATGCAGGAGTTTAACTTTGCAATAGCACAGCCCTGAAGTAAAATGATTTATTTGGTATTTATAATTTTTTTTTTTTCAAAACAAGTTTCTCTGAAACCATAGCAACAACTGCTCAAGTGAAGATTTGGAATGATGATGAAATCATTCACAAGCAAAAAATACCAGATAGTCTCTGGTTTTGGGTTGGTGGAATGTAAGATTAACTCTTAATATTAAGAAATATTTCAAAATATTCTAGGTAATCACCCTAATCCCTTTGAAAGGTAGACATTTAAAACTACTTTTTTTTTGCCAGAAAATTACATCTTTGATTTTCAAAACAATTTGTCTTCTAACTTTCTGATGGGAATGCTGTGTGCATAAATGTCCAAGTTTATTACTCTTCACTTACAAGACAATATACATAAATAGATTTCACAGAGACCCTACCACAGTCTATTTCTAACAGAATCACATGTATTCCAGCAAAAATATGCATTTTTCTGAAAGGTCTCTCTATTGCTTCCCCTTCTCCAAATGCATTTCAGAGAAGTCAGTTCAGGAAACCAGAATCAGTTACAACTTACCCTCACACTTGAGTAGATGACATCGGATTTTTCAGGGAAAGCAACGTGCTCCGTTTGAGTAGTGCAAGAGTTGTAAATTCAAGCCAACAGGTAATTTTTGGTAATTCAAAAGCCTTTAAAACAAATCTAAATGCTGCGATGACAAATAGGGTACTTTGTGAAAAGGTATCTAAAGCTTGATGCTCTCGCAGGGAGTTTTGTAACTGTCTGTCTCAGCTCAACAAGCTCTCGTTTCTTTCCTCGGCCATTTGCCAACTTTTCTAATTTAAAGCAACTGTGAGCTTGCTGTAAAACTTTTTCTGGAAGGAGCTCAGTGTGTACCATGGAGCAGGGAGCAAGCATGTGCTCCAGACTGACGTGGTATGACAGAGTCCTAACAGTACATGGGGCATATCCTCCCCGAGGTAACGTTATATCATCTTTGGAAAGAATGATAGGCTAAGCTGTCTTCTTCTCAGTAAAAACACAGAGAAGAGGAAAAAATCATGCTGATTCTGGCATGTTGTCCACTCAGCATGGGATTTGGGAGGAGCAGCATCTGCCTCAAAGTGCAGGAAGAAGCAACAGCCTCAAATACATAAAGTGCTCAGAACTCCCAAAGGAACCTGGACACCAAATTGTCCAAAAGACTCTAGTCCTTGTCTGAGGCTTTGGGGAGAGGGCCAGGGGTTTCCTCCAGGGCTTCCTCTGGAGTGTAATAGGGGGTGCCTCTATCATGGGGTGGCTGAGGTTCATGGCTGGGCACAACCACAAATATCTTGATTTTGGAGAGTTTCAAACTTGGGGGTTTGGATAGTTTCAAATTATGCTCATGGCAATGAACCTACCTTCTGAGACACTTACAAGCTTTGAATAACAGAGGCATGATTTTCAAAGGCATCCACTTACTGGACATGGCTCTGCTCTACTTTGCTCAAATTAAGATAGTGAAGCATGTGAAACGTTGTTCATACAGAAGAGCTGTCTAGGCCCATGTCAAATTCCTCCTTTTTGCAAGGAACTTATTTCAACCAGTTACGGTTGACATATGTGGTGTGCATTTATGGACCTACGAAAATGGTCCCCTTTTGCAAATATGAGTTTTCTCTGCAGAGGAGCTAAGAACAAACAAACAAAAAGCCAAATGACAAAATATTGTGATTTGGGAAATTTCAGTCTCCTTGTGGGTACCATAAAGAACTTTTTTTTTTTTTTTTTTTTTAATGAGGGTTCTGAAAAGCCCACCCCAGACTGTACCCCAAATCATTCAGCACTTTTGGAAATGCACCCAACTGACCTGCTGATGTTAAGGTGACATAAGGTTTACTGTGGTTGTTACTAAATGACTTTGGTTTTGTCAGCCATATTTTATTGTAAAACTAATGAAAGTGAATGGAATCAATAGAATGAACATTTCAAAGGTGTTTGATGGCCCTAAAAGAGGAATGCATCTTCTGTGAAAATACAAGTCCATGTCAGGACACCATTTGTGGTATGGCTAAGAATGATTTTGTTTGTTTAAATACTCTAACTTCCATGACTCTGAAATATTAAGTATTTCATATTTTAAATTGAGAAATAAAACCCAGAGTCCTGGGCATTCCAAAATAAAGTACTGCCCAAAGCTGGAAGAAAGGGTTTAAGGAAAATCTTTTCTTCTAATGGACTTTCATTTCAGTGCTAAATGGTAATAATCAGGATATAGAAAACTGTTACAAAACCATATGATGCGGTGAAAACTTTAGTATATGATTTTACAAGTCTCAATTTTCCCCCCAATATTTTCATTTTGCTCTGTGGATCTGCTGGTAAGCTTAGTTGCTGGTGGGCAATAGTGAAAGTGGAAATACCATCCTGTCATGTCACTTAAATGTACCTAAGTGATTTCTGTATCTTAATTTTCACTTAGTGATCAGGCATTAGGTATATCTTTTTAGGTACTGGTGTCTCTGAAAACTTGTACCTGCATGCTTATGGGAGTTAAACAGAAGTTTTGAAGATTACCCAGAGTGTTGTCTTCATTCTCTCAGTTGATCTCTTTCTGCTTTGGTTTAGGGAAGCTTCAGATGATCCTTCCTCTTCCTGATAAGTCTTTCTTGAGGAAGCAAAGAATGTTGCCCATCACATGGGAAAAAACCCCCATATTTTTAGCAGTCTGTGGAGAAGACTGGCAGGAATTATGAACCTGAGCTCTGCCACTGATTCATACCTAGCTCTGGGCTAGGAATCTTCCTGGCTGCCATTTATTTACCTGCCTTATAGGAATGTGACTGAGGCTAAATAGCCATTGGTGAAGTAGTAAATAAGATTAATCACACTAATTTTACAGCAGTAATAATTAAAATCAAATAATCCTTCTAAGCTGTTAACATTTTATACTCTCTGAGATTACCTGAGTAGTTTTCTATGGTCCACAACACAAAGTTAAAGAATCAGCTGTCAGTTCCCCTCTTAGGTTATAGGGAAGGAGGCTTAAGGGGGAAGATGCAGCTAAAGCTTTGTCAGAGGGACAGAGATATGAGCGTCAGCATAGCAAAAGTCTTATGAAAAAGAAATTGAATCTATTTCATTTTTTTTACCAGACTTTTCAGATTGGAGGCAGGAGACAAGGGTAAAAGTGAAGGAAAAATTGGAGAGTGTTGTGCAAACCTTGGAGGGTTAAGTGTTCAACAGAAGAATCTTTTGGATGAAAGATTTTATGTTTATAGGGTAGTTTACTGGTGGCCATGATAGGCTCGTTTTTAATCCCTCTGAAGTTACAGTTCTAGGCAACCATTTCATATTTTAGCACTTCACCAGAACATTGATTTTCTTGCTTTTGGCTTTGTCTAGACACAGCTGAGGTAGGACTGAGCTGCTAGGTGCAGCACTGAGCCAGGAACTGCTGCTTGGCATTCATGTCCTCACAGGTACAACAGAACAACTAACACAGGGGTTAGGAAAAAAAGGAATCATTCATCCTGGAGAAATTTCAAAGGGGAAGGAAATGCCCCTTGGCTCACCTGTGACTGCAAGTCTTCACATGGTCCTGTGCATGTGGACATTAGCTGCACCTTGAAGACAGAAAACATGAATGTTTTTAAGAGATGCATGAGAATGCATGTGCTTTAAGGAATGTAGTTGTCACACCCTTGACAAACTATGATCTTTTATCCTTTCAGGTGGCAAGCAGCTGAGACTTTTTCCTGGTGACATCTTTAAGTCTCGTCTCTGACCAAAATCTTTTAAGACTCAGTGGGTTTTAAAAAGTTGTCATGGTTTTTACTTGTTCTTGGAAACTAAGCAGGAATTTTCCCTTCCCCCTGCCCACTGTGTGAAGGGGAGGTTGAATGGGCAGATTGGCTCAGGCAATTGATAAACACAAAAGAAGTGGTTGGTAAAAGCACATTCCAAGTTGATGGCCCTCAAGATTTTGTCTGTGGGGAGGGGTGGGGAGTTCTTTTTTATTTTTTTTTTTCTCCTCACCTGGGAAATGAGAGGGAGTTTGTTGTTGCCTGAGTTGGGACAAGGTCCAGGTGGCAGGAGCTCTGAGGTGGCTTTGTTCTTGGCCTGGCTGCCAGCTGGGAATTTTGCTTGGATTTTCATTGGCGAGGAACTGTTTGGGAGGTCTCTCCTCCTCCATTTTTTTGGCAGCAGTTCTTGTGCACATCAAAGGAGAGGGGAAGCCACACCACATGACTCAACCAGCAGGACAGTGTGAGTTCCCGTTGTGAAGGACCTTTTTTTCTTTCCTTACTTCCTCCCTTTTTTTCCAGTGAGGGGGAGGGAAGACCTCAATTTATGGTTTCTCCAGCACACCTGAGGGGCCCCCAAGCGTGGCAACCACCAGTGATCCAACAGTGCCCCGTGCTGACTGTGATTAGAATTGCATCAAAGGGCACAAACTGAACTGGTTACTTTTTGGTTTGTTTGTTTGTTTGTTTTGAAGGGGATTATTTTTGGGTATAGGATTATTGTTTGGTTGTTTTATTTGTGTTCTTTCATTGTTCTGCCAATACACATATATCTTTTAATAAAGGGTTGGTTTTTTTTCCTTTTTCCACATTTTTCTCAGCTGGAGCCTCTTAATTTCGGATTTACAATTGCTTAGATGGAGGAGTTTGGGTCTTCCTGATAACTTATCCTAAGGAAAACACTTGTGTCTCATTAAACTGAGACATAAGTATCAAGGATGTTTTCAACACAAGTATCTGAACCAAGAATCAAACAAAATCCTTCATCTTCAGTGAACCACTAAGAATTTGTTTTGTTAGCAGGAAGGAATTATGATTTTGTGGCATTAAAAAGAGAAGCATCCTTTGATGCTGGGATTTGGGATTTTCCTGTGTTATGGCTGAATGCATTGAAGTCCATATAGTAGTCAGTTCAATTACCAAGATGTGGATGTAAACACTCAGGATTCCTCTTGCCTCGATATTGAGAGAATTAGCAGGTTTATAAAATCCGGTGAACTCTAGGAGGTCACAAAGCTGCTAAAAGCCAGAAGCCTAATTTTCCCCTCATGGAGGAGACTAGCTTCATCCTGGTAAACAAAAATATGTCCATGTCCAGTGACCCTAAATGAGAAGAAAAATCAGTTGGTACAAAGAAATAAGATGTCAAAACACATGGAATTTTTTGCTTAGTTTGATGGTGCAGGAGTGTGTGGATTGGTTGTTGGTGTTTCAGTTTTTTAATTATTATTATTTGGTTTGATGGGTGTTTTTTTTATCACTAGCTCCCACCATTTGCAGCTCAGCAGAAGAGGAAGGGATGGGAGGTCTGCTTTAAGGGGTCCTGCTTTCATGATAAGTCACGATCCATTTTAAGGTGTGCTGCTTTTTGATTGATAAGAAGCTCATATGGCCTGGCAATGTGTGCTTGCAGCCCAGAAAGCCACTGTGACCAGCAGGTCTAGTGAGGTGATTCTGCCCTTCTCTCTGCTCTGCTTTTGGGAGACCCTACCTACAGCACTGCATCCAGCTCTAGAGCCCACAACATAGGAAGGAGTGGAGCTGCTGGAGTGATTCCAAAGGAGGGCTACAAAGCTGCTTAGACGGTTGGAGCACCTCTGCTATGAAGGCAGGCTGAGAGAGTTGGGATTGTTCAGCTTGGAGAAGAGAAGGTTCCAGGGAGACCTTTTAGTACCTTCCAGTACTTAAAGGAGCTTCAAGACAGCTGGAGAGGGACTTTTTACAAAGTAGATGATAATACGACAAGGGGGAATGGCCTTAAACTGACACAGAGTAGGTTTAGATTAGATATTAAGAAGAAATTCTTTACCGTGAGGGTTTTGCAGCACTGCAACAGTCTGCCTCATCCCTGGAAGTGTTCAAGGCCAGGTTGGAGTGGGTGGCATCCCTGCCCATGGTAGGTGAT